ATGAGAGATAAGGTACAATTTGGATTATAGATTAGAAACAAAAGATAATGAGACCAAATCGGTTCTGTAAAGGACACCTTTTTTTTTTTTGCTTATCCCTAGTACACGTGGTACAGGCCATGATAATCATGGTGGGTAATTAGCGACTGCTTTTACTGTAAGCGCACCACATATCTACACATGTGAAAAGCAGTTCGACTTTGCACTTACAAATGCCAGAGCCCCGTTTGGTTACTTGCACTCGCTGGTGGGGTTGGACTTTTGCAAGAATCGGGGGCCATTGGAGCATATTTTTTTTTTTAACAGAAAAAAGTGCCCAATGCGGGAATCGAACCCGGGTCCTAGTGGTCGAAAACCAAACGGTTTACCCAGCCTTCCACCGAAGGACACCTAATTATAGAGAACCAGTGTTCTTAAAAGAGAGGTGTCTTCTTACTGGAGAGCAGCTAAATAGTAAAAATGGTAATTTTGGAGATGTGAAAACTGTCATCTGTAGTGAGGTGTCCTCTAGTGTAAATGTCTTCTTATAGAAGTTCTATGATTGAGTACAATTTGGATTATAGATTAGAAACACAAGGTAACAAGACCAAATCCAAATAAATAAATAGTGTGTGACGTTACAGTAACAACGTTGTTACCGAAACATCACACATTATTAATTTATTTGGATTTGGTCTTGTTACCTTATATATTAGGCAATCAAAATCCACATAAGTAATTTAAATGTGATAATTGGTGGTCAGTGAGAGGATCATACATGCTGTAAATTTTTTATAATAACCTAATTCTAACCCCTCCAGCGATTGCAAGTTACAAATGAAGCTATGGCACCTTGGAAGTACAAAAGTAGAACTGCTTTATACTTTTGAAAGCCAGTTGAATTCATATAATATAAAGGAGGAGGGGAGCAGTAACAAGCTCACTAAAAAACCTGGGCTCAGCTGGCCCGGCTGATAGTACCCTGTAAGGGCTCCTAATCCAGGGATACAGGATGAGCAGTGTTTGTACTCCATGTTAGGAGCGGATGCACATGGTGTCTGTTCCTCATGTCAGAGGCGGCCATTTCTTCTGGAGCTAAGTCAGCCTGCCACTGAGTAGTGCTCCCAGTCTTAATGACAAAGGCAGACACATTCTATTTCACCCAGTATGGAGATAAGAAAGAAGAAGATATAATATAAAGAAACATATTATATATTTTTCAAAATTTTCTTTTAGTTTTACTATATATTTTGCAATAATCAAGAGGGTGTAGACATTGTGTACTTTAGTAAAGACAGTCACTACCTACACACCATGATTATCATGGCCTTTACCAAGTGTACATCGAATAAGTGAAAAAATACGTGATCATTTCAAGAGAGATAGCTTTGTTACCATCAACATTAGAGTCTGATGAGGGTAATAGTGCTGCTACAGAAATAGTCTTCTTCTTTCTTATCTCCACTCAATCATATTAAGGTATCAAGCTTGTAAAGCTTGAGATTTGACAACAATCATGACTGGGTGTAACATATAGTGTGGGTGCACATATAGAGTAAAACTCTTCTATAGCAAACCCCAATGGGACTAAACCTTTTGTTCATTATAGTCATGGTTCACTGTATTATAAAATGAAAATTGTGATTATTTTAGGTGCGTTATTAGGGAAGGTTTACTATATTTCTGGTTCATTTTATCTAGGTTTTACTGTAGTTTGTTCTCGTTTGAAATCGTAGGATTAAGAAAAAACATCCTCTACATATGAGATCACATCAAAGTACAAGTAACAAGAAAGGGGTTCTCCTACCTCTTTCAAGTCCCTCCTGAGATCTTTGAGGCCATAGTGCTGAGTGAGGCTGAGGGAGTGGACAGAGGCCTGCAGGAGGAAGGCTGTGAGGGAGAGGCCGAGATGTCTGCCAGAGCCGCTGAGACCTAGCAGTACAGCCGACCCTCCGGGACAGGTCAGCACTCGTTCCAGCCGGCTCACCAGCCAGGTCAGTTCTTCAGTGACAAACACCTCAGACTGGAGGATCTCTCTGCCTGCACCACACAGCCTGGTTCACCACAGAACACTGCTGGCTTAATATGCTTCTATGTGCTCAAGTTTCATTAAAAATATATCAGGTCCTTCCCAATTACTTAGGCTTGTAGTTTATTGGACTAAACCAAATTAAAAAGAGAGAAACTCCGCCTTTGCCGGTCCCAAGCCCAGATGAAAAAGGAGGAAGGGGAGCAGCAACAAGCTCACTAAAAACCTGGATTCAGCTGGTTCGGCTGATAGTACCCTGTAAGGGCTCCAGGGATACAGGATGAGCAGCGTTTGTACTCCCATGTTAGAAGCGGCTGCACATGGCGTCTATTCCTCATGTCCATTTCTTTTGTAGCTGAGTCAGTAGCCTGCCATTGAGTAGTGCTCCCAGTCTTAATGACAAAGGCAGACACATTCTATTTCACATAATCATGATGGTTGTCAAATCTCCCCACTATGCTGCATCGGCCATCACGCAGAAGCTTTACAAGCTTAACACCCTAATATGATTGGGTGGAGATGAGAAAGGAGAGAAATAAGCATCAAAGTGTTTACAATAAACTTGTAAAATTTTTCTTATATTTATAGGCAAAACACTACTTTTCACATTATTAACATTAACAAATAATTATTATTTATACACATGGCCAATTTATACAAGCTTGATACCCTAATATGATTGAGTGGAGACAAGAAAGAAGAAGAAGACATATAAAACATCAGAACCATAGTCATTTACAACTAGGTGACAAGATTTATTTCCCCTGAGATACCATCATTAATTATTAAAAATCATTTTCATAAAATTGGGGGTCGGTGGAAGGCTGGTTAAACCGTTTGGTTTTTCGACCACTACGACCCGGGTTCGATTCCCGCATTGGACACTTTTTCTGTTTAAAAAAAAAAATGCCTCAATGGTCCTCGATTCTTGCAAAAGTCCAACCCCACCAGCGAGTGCAAGTAACCAAAAGGGGCTCTGGCACATTTGTAAGTGCAAAGTCGAACTGCTTTTTCACATGTGTAGACATGTGGTGCGCTTACAGTAAAAGCAGTCGCTAACTACCCACCATGATTATCATGGCCTGTACGACGTGTACTAGGGATAAGCAATAAAAAAAATTAATAAAAAAAAAATTTATAAAAACAGAAGAGAATAAATGTTATATCTTGGATACAATGCTGGCATGTTCTCTGCTCCTGAGGATAGGTTTACAATCACACGCTGGCATGAGAAAGGGTTATTAATTGTTCCCTTTGTTATGTACTAGCCATGTGCTGCAGCCCATTTTACATGTTTCAATGACAAATCCACATACACAGTTGACTGAGTTGACGCCAGTTTGTGGTTAAACACAACAAACCACTATCTGAGGCAGAGATAAAAAAATAAAAGGTTATTATTATTTTTGCTTATCCCTAGTACACGTGGCACAGGCCATGATAATCATGATGGGTAGAAAAAGGTGACTGCTTTTACTGTAAATGCACCACATGTCTACACATGTGAAAAGCAGTACAACTTTGCACTTAGAAATGTGCCAGAGCCCTGTTTGGTTACTTGCACTTGCTGGTGGGGTTGGAGTTTTGCAAGAATCGGGAGCCATTGGATCATTTTTTTAATCAGAAAAAAGTGCCCAATGCAGGAATCGAACCTGGGTCATAGTGGTCGAAAACCAACGGTTTAGACCATCCTTCCACCGATCCCCTATTTATGTACTAGTCATGTGCTGCAGCCCATTTTACATGTTTCAATGACAAATCCACATACACAGTTGACGGCACTTTGTGATCAAACACAACAAACCACTATCTGAGGCAGAGATATATAATAAAAGGTTATGAAACTTAGCAGTTTATATTGAGGGGGTAAGGTTACAACAAAATTTCTAAGGATTTATTGAACTAGACTTTTACTTTCTGTTATATAAATGGATTTGAAAGAAAGAAAGAGAAGAGAGTACCGTAGTAGTTGGCCAGCTTCCTGATGACATCCAGCCACTGGGTGGAATCTGTTCTCCGGTACTCCCTCCCCACATCTGGGATTTTCCGGAAGTTGTCACTCCGGACACCATCACAGGTCACATAGTAGGTGGCTGTGACAACCCTCCATTATATACCATGTAAAACAATAGTTGAAGAAAATTTATTTGATTAGGCACAATTTGGATTATTGATTATAAAACAAGGTAATAAGACCAAATCCAAATAAATAAATAGTGTGTGACGTTTCGGTAACAGCGTTGTTACCATCTTCAGACAAAAGTACTGAATGCGAAATTTTACCACAGCATGTTTTAAATAGCTACTGTTATCAAGTGTGTAAACAAGATAACATATAAATATCTTCTTCTTATCTGTTATCTTGTTTACACACTTGATAACAGTAACTATTTGTGAAACATGTTGTGGTAAAATTTCTCATTCAGTACTTTTGTCTGAAGATGGTAACAACGCTGTTACTGAAATGTTACACACTATTTATTTATTTGGATTTGGTCTTATTACCTTGTTTTAAAATTTTATTGAATAGTTTCATATAAGGTAAAACAATATTCAGAGAGGACACTCCCGCTAGAGGACACCTCTCTACAAAGGACAGTTTACATTGCCAATACAGTAGAATTATTATTTTGAAGGGAGGGTAAAAACATATTGTCTCATGTCTGTCAATGTGGTATGAAAGAAATACAAATACAGAATTTTTTTATTAAAATGGGGAAAAAATAAGATAGAGAAGTTTTTTCAATTATTAGACTTAGTACACGTGGTACAACTCAATGATAATCATGTAGGGTAGTTAGCAACTATTTTTACTGTAAATGCACCACATATCAATGCACTTGCTGGTGAGGTTGAACTTTTGTAAGAATTGGGTGCCATTGGAGCATCTTTTTTTAAATTAGAAAAAGTGCCCAATGCTGGATTCGATCTATGGTTGTAGCTGTCAAAAACCAACGGTTTAGACCACTTGTCTCTCAACCCCTAAAAAAACTTCCCACGCTGGTATTCGAACCTGGGCCTTCTGAATGAAAGCTAGATATCCTAACCACTAGAAAACAAGGGAAGTAAAACTATAATGCTCCCAACAACATAGAACAAAAAAATGTAGAGGAGGTGAACTTACTTTCTGGGAACTTGATTGGAACACCTTTTAAATATTTCTTGACCAGGGTGGACATGAGTTCATCAAACTTGGTTCTGTGGTGTGGATGGATGAGGGGGTCTCTGAAAGTTCTGCACATCTCATGGATGAAGGCCTGCGCGAGGAGCTCTGGAGATGTAGGCTTCTGGTAGCGCAGCATCCCTTGCACCAGCCTGGAGAGGGCTGTAGGGGTGAAGTTGTAGGAAGGGTGTTCCTCCGGACTGAACATACTCGACATCTGCAACACCATTATATCTTAGTTGCCACTTGGAAAAAATGACATTTGTGCTGCAGCTTCAAGTTGTAGATAATAAACCTCAAGGTAATAAGATCAAATTCAAATAAATAAATAAGTTACGCAAGTTTGGCCTTAAATACCCATTTCTTGGTTTCTCAAGAAGCCACTGGGACCAAAAATCTTTTTGGTCACAGTGGTACAGCCTACTCCATGCTATCGAGCCCCAACAGCGCGAAACACGTTCGTGGATGGCTTTTCTTGATTTATCAATAAATTGGGTTGGCCAAATATCAAGGAACAGGCTAAATCAATGTTTAGTTGATTTCTGTTCCACCAGATGGCACTCTGCCTTCTGTTGTTGTTGTTGTTTCTTATCCCCTTGTGTAAAGATTACACGAATTCCATGAGTTCATGCTCCTCGAGCTGTTTTATGATGAGCAGCGGCCTCTCCCAAAGGTCCTGTGGGCAGAGCTGACTGCTATAGGGCGCGTCCCCAGGTGGCGGATAGGGGAACGACCTTCAGATATGAAGGCCAGCTGCGAAACAAGCAGAGTAACTGTCGAATAAGCAGTCGCGGACCAACAGCACAATTGTTAGAAGAGGAGTAGACCTCTTTAAAAATCCTGACTTCAACTGACCCAGTTGATGGACCTCAGCAAGGGTCCCACTCCAGGGATACGGAGGAGCTGCGTCTGTACTCATGTTAGAGTCGGCAGCAAAGGCGTCTGCTTCCATGTTAGGAACGGCCTCAAACTACAGGCAAAGTCAGACTTTCACCAAAGTGTGCCTGGATCATGGTGCCATGATCAACGAAAGCTGCACCCCTACACCTCATTCCATGAGACTCTGCCTTCTGAAAAGCACATGTGCTCCTGGTCAGGATATGCCTTTTTTTTATTTTTAAATAAATAAGTGTGTGATGATTCAGTAACAGCGTTGTTACCATCATCAGACAAAAGTCATCGAAGACTTGTAAGCCTCCTCTCAAACAGGCTTCTCCAATATTATTATTTTATAGTCATAATCTGGTGGTGTGATGTTGAAAACTTTGTAGTTGAGTTCCTTGAATATATTTTGGTATGCCTGCTAATATTTATTTTCCAATCACAACTATATCTTTTCCAAACAACCTTCCAACCAAACCAAAGTATATTATAGTGTGATTAAAGTTTATAAACAATAAACAATCCCACCTAAGCACAGTTGGTACAGTGGAGTGGACCCAGGAGGAGCTCTGAACCTCAGAAATAGACAGCATCAAACAACAAGATTTAGAACAGGCCATCTCAAGCCATTGAAGATATAAAATAACAACAAAATCTACCCCAATTGCCCAAAATGTAGCTTGGCACCTGCAGCTCCAGAACCCATTTTGGCTTGCATTAAATACACTAAACAGGATATTTGGGAGAGGCCACTGCTTATTATAAAACAGCTCAAGGAGCATGAATTCATGGAATTTGTGTGATATTTATACAAGGGGATAAGAAAGAACAACAAAAGTTTTCAAAACTCACGACACATCCACTCAGCTACTGTCTGGACATTATTAGGGTCCCTCACCTGGGAGAAGAGATCCATCAAGACAGACACCAGAGCTGTGACCTTGGAGAGGAAGGAGTTGGGGACCTTGAGGAACCTCAGGGATCTCTGGAGCAGGGAGGTGTAGATAGTCCTGAGCTGCTCCAAGTCCTGGGAGCTGAGAGAACATTTTTAACTACACTACAACATTTCTGTAATACAGGGGACAGTATATATATTAAAGTTCAAATAAAAGACTCAATTTGAAGCTTTCGGAAGAGTGATTGCTCGAAGCATATTATATATTTATAATTGTATGTAATTCTAATGTCCTCAAAGCTTATGTCCATAGTTCATCTAAAATACCCATTCAAAGAGTCTAGCATCAGTATCACTATAAAAGGAATTTCCAAAAATGCAATATAACAGCGGTATGGTAGATTAAACTGGCGAAACCGCTGGGAGGGTTCACCACTGATAAGCCAGGCCCTCCCATTAATTTTTCCATTGCAGTAAGGGCAGTAGAAATTGATTTATTTTAAAAAGAATCATGCGCATCAAAAATAGTTTTGTATTTTGATAACAGATGGCGCGCTAGTGCATCGTAATATAACCCCACTAGTGAGTGTGAGTAACTACACTGGCAGAGTTGTAAGTGCAGAAGTCAAACTGCTCTCTACATGTATAAACATGTGATGTACTTACAGTAAAAGCAGGTGCCAACTACTACCCACCATGGTATCATGGCCTGTATCACATTGTACTAGACTATAGTCTAAATTAGGAAGAAATAAAACTCTGCCTTTGCCAGTCCCAAGCCCGGATGAAAAAGAAGGAGGGGAAGCAGTAACAAGCTCACTAAAAAACTTGGGCTCAGCTGGCCCGGCTGATAGTACCCTATAAGAATACAGAATGAACAGCATCTGTACTCCATGTTAGAAGCGGCTGCACATGGCATCTGTTCCTCATGTCAGAGGCGGCCATTTCTTTTGGAGCTAAGTCAGCCTGCCACTGAGTAGTGCTCCCAGTCTTAATGACAAAGGCAGACGCATTCTACTTCACCTAGTCATGATGGTTGTCAAAACAGACACCATCAAAAGTCTCAAGCTTTACAAGCTTAATATCCTGATGTGATTGAGTGGAGATAAGAAAGAAGAAGAAATAAACAAAGATGCTGCTACCTGAAGGAAAATATCTTGAAGAGGGAGGAGAATCTCTCTGGCAGCTTGGAGAAGCCGCTGGAGACACTGCCGATCACCTGGATGGACTCCATTTGGAGCCACTCTAGGGAGTTGGAGTCGTAGAATCCTTGGTAGGAGATCACCTGTCACACACCTAGCTCTATGTAGATTTCTGCTGTTGTTGTTAGTGACCAAGTCAGTTTCAACTTTTGCCGACTATATGGTGACAAATATTCTCCAGTTTGTGATCTCACAATGTAATAAGACAAACTCCAAATAAATAAATAGGGTGATGTTACCAAAATGTAACACACTATTTATTTATGTGAGAATCGATTTGAATCCTGTCGACTCTCTTTTCTCTGTGGAGAATCTTGCCGATTCTCCGTTTGCTCTGTGGTAGTTGTGACAGCGAAGGTGCTGTCAACTGGAAGTTGGGATTGGATTGGTGAATTTTGCAGTCGTGATGGCAGGAGTGAGGACACAGGATTGGTTGGTCAAGGGAACCGATGCTGACAGACAGAGAGCATGGAGGAGAGTGAGCTTACGCCCACGATTTACGCTGGATCAGGAGACGCGTGTAGTGCGGATGAGACTCGGAATTGCTACTGAGGCTTCCCCAGTCGGGTGGTGTCACATGACCTCTATTGAGATTCTGTTTGGTCATTCATTACATCATGGAAGATGAAGAATCGCCTTGATTGGTCCAAGCAACTGGGAAGCCATCTTTGATAGTTATAGCAGAAAATGTGAGGATGGAGTATTGACCCATATAAAGTTGTTTTCAGCGAATTCAACTCCAGGGTCTTTTGTCTTTGAGATTTCTGGAATAAAAGTTTCGTTGACCTAGCACTAATGATGCGAGATGGGAATCTTTCATCTTAACTCTAGGCCTAACTGCAATCATTTATTAATATCTATAATCGTATTATCTCCTTGTTTTTCTCTGTCTGTCTGACATACAGTCTGTATTTTATTTGGCTCTTACAGTACATCATGTCATACAGTAAGTTGGTACAGGGTACAAGGTGGTTGGACATAGGCAGGGACATGGTAGAATGACTGGCGGTTTTAAATTATCAGATTTATTTATCTAATTACTTTGTGTTTTTAATTTATGATCCAAATTGTTCCTAATCATCCAGTTTGATCAGTGATCACTGATGATCACTCGTTTCCTCAAACCTTTCTATCCAGCTTATTGCAGATCTTCATCTCTTCCTTCAAATTTTTTCCTAACTGATTATAAGTGTTTTTCGTGTCCATCAAGTTGAGTTTGACTTTAGGTGACACTATGGACAAATAATCTCCAATTTGTTCTGTTAGTGAGCAACACTCTCAGCTCATCTAGTAATGGTAGCTTCCTTGATACCTTTCAACCAGCTAATTGGAGGTCTTCCTCTCTTCATTCAAATGTTTCCAACATTGACATCTTTCTTAATCCATTTGTCTTCATTTTGTGTGTTAACAACTTTGCCTTTGCCTGTCCCAAGCCCGGATGAAAAAGGAGGAGGGGGAGCAGTAACAAGCTCACTAAAACACCTGGGCTTAGCTGGCCTGGCTGATAGTACCCTGTAAGGGCTCCAGGGATACAGGATGTCAGAGGCGGTCATTACATATTGGAGCTAAGTTGGCCTGCCACTGAGTAGTGCTCCCAGTCTTAATGACAAAGGCAGATGCATTCTACTTCACCCAGTCATGATGGTTGTCTAATATGATTGAGTGGAGATAAGAAAGAAGAAGAAGATGTGTGTTAAGTGCTACCTCTCTAAAGAAAATTACCCAAATAAGTTAAATATACACGATGATTTGGTAGCCATGTTTTTACAGAAAAACCTATAAATTACATTTTTGAATTTTTTTCTTGTGTGCTTCTTATATATCTATATAATCCTAATTGTGTAGCTTAAAAAAATGGGAGAAAAGTCATATCTTGACCATCTATGTAAATTTATAATATCTTTTATTTATAACCTATACTC